ATTGTCTGACCATAGGACCACAGATCTCCCAGGTGCATCCTACCCTCCCAGGTCCAACATGTTTGTGACTAGCATAATCTCAAGCTTGAGGACCCAAAAGGGAACACAGCCCAGGGGTCTGCCCACTCAATAGGGTCTGCAGGGTATTCAGAGGAATGTTTAGGACTTGATTCTAGCTGTCTTGACCTGGATCGTAGACTGAGGAAAGCCACACCTGGAGCGACCTGAGACTCAATCTAGAGTGCGCAACCATATACATACCCACCACCATGTGGCTCAGGTAGCTCCAGGCAGGGGAAGTGGGAAAACACTGTAGGGACTGTATGAGCCAACACATGGCCTGGAACCTTGAGTCCAGCAGGGAGGCCCTCGCTGTCATGGAGTCAAGGATCGTTCCAATTAATTTTATTCTTCTGGTGGGAATGAGCGTTGACTTTTCCAGGTTGAAAAGAAAGCTCAACCTCTGGAAAGTGTTCCTGATAAGATGAACATGTGCCCCCACCTGCTCTTTGGAGTTGCCTCTTAGCAGTCAATTGTTGAGGTAAGGGCAGTCAATTGTTGTTCTCTGCTCTCTCCTGTGGAGAAACGTGGCCACCAATGCCATGCACTTTGTGAACACATGGGAGGCTCTGGAGAGGCCAATGGGAAGCACCATGAATTGATGCAAAAAACAGGAATAACAAGATGGTTTATTAGGTGATGAGCTTTCGTGGGCCAGATCCACTTCCTCAGATCAAATAGTGGAAGAAAATTGAATTGATGGTGCCTGACTTACCACGAATCAGAGAAAGCATCTGTGCATCTGGTGAATGGCAATGTGGAATAGGTGTCTTTCATATTGAGGGCTGCATACCAATCCCCTGGATCCAGGAAGGGGATAATGGAGTTTAGCAAAAGCATGTGGAACTTTAGTTTCAACAGGTTCCTGTTGACACTGCAAAGATCCTAGATGGGTCTGAAGCCCTCTTTCGCCTTTGGAATAAGGAAATAGCAGGAATAGTACTCTTTTCCCCTGAATTCCTGAGGAACCTCCTCTATTGTCCCCATGGCCAAAACCAATTGCACTTTCTGCTGAAGGAATTGCCTGTGAGAAGGGTCCCTGAAGAGAGCTGGGGAAAAGTACTGGGAAGCAGAACTGGAGCACGTAGCCCATGTCTACCATTCAAAAGACCAAGTGGTTCAAAGTGATAAGGATCCATGCCTGGTAGAAGCAGGATATGCAACTGCCAAATAACGGGAAAGGATCTAGGGTAGAGATTGGTCCACAAGTCCTCAAGCATGAACCTGGGTGAACCTTGATTCTGGCCAGATGACCAGGACAGGCTTCTACATCTGTTATTTCAGCCCCTGCACCAATAGGAGTCTAGGCAAAGTTGGGCATACAACTAGTTCTGGCAATGTTGTTACTGTTGCTGTTGATGTGCTCAGAAGGGCCTATATTGCATGGTCGGAGTGTGCATCCCCCAGGAGCACGTTGGGGCTCTAGTGTCTTTTAAGCTGTGCAGCTAAGTCGATTTGTTCAGAGAACAACCACAAGTTGTCAAATGAGAGGTCCTGTAAAGTATGTTGCACCTCCAGACGGAGACCAGAAAATTGCAACCATGCCAACCTGCGCATGACTATGCTCAGAGATTAGGAGCGGGCTGCTGAATCCACCCCATCCAGAGAAGCTTGGAGAGCTGTTCCCCACTACCTTCCCTTCCTCTATCAATGCCGCGAAGTCCATCTGAGAGTCCTCTGGAAGGAGCTCCTTGAATTTCCATGTGGCTTGCCAGGTACTGAAATTGTATCTGCTGAGGACAGCCTACTGGTTTGCTATCCTCAACTGGAGGCCCCCTACCATGTATACATTTTGAGGTGCCTGGCCTCTTTGGCTTTTGGTGCCGATTGGTCCTGTCATTCCCATTCGTTGACCAAAGAGCTGGGAGGGAGGGAGAGTAGAACTATTTATATCCCTTAGATGGCACACAGTACTTTCTTTCCACTCCCTTGGCCGTTGGGGGAATGGAGGGAGGAGTCTGCCATAGAGAGAAATTGCTTCTTTTCCAGAGTCTTTATGAAGGTGCTAGAATGTCCACCATAAGATCCTCAGCCTTAGCCGGATTTGACAGTGCCTGGACTGTGGAAGTTGGTGGTGCCGCCTCTCTCTGCCTTGAAGTTCTGCAACCTGAGAGAGGCTTAGCGGGCTGAAGGGGGGAGCACTCTGTCATTTTTCTTATGCTCTTGGATACCGGAGAGTTGGATTGGTACCATAGCTAGGTATCTCACTGTGGTGCTGGGACTCTTTGGAAGTGTCCTTAGGTTGTGCCATAGTTGCTAGTGGCCTGAGTGCCACTTCCAATAGTAACTACCACAGACAAAAGTCCCTTTCTTTCTATATATGAGGCTTTGCCTGATGGGTTTCCTGTAGACAACGTTGCCAAGAATTGTGGGTGGTCACTGTTGGGCATTCTTGGGCTTGTGGTATAACACAATGCCAGATAGAAGGTGGTAACAACTACCTACCATCTTATCTAACAACTACAATGATTAATACTTAATTAAGAACAATGCAAACAAACACCTAGGCAATGACACACTCGTAAAGCAAGCAAATGATGTTCCAACACCATCACAGATGGTAAGAAAGAACTAAGGAAGGGATGGTCAGCAGGATCATACATAGCACCATCACTCCATGGGGCTCCCTGCTGACCCCATGGAGGCTATTAGGGGAAAAGTTTCTGATGATCATGCACAAAATGTGCGCACGTTTCATTGGAATCAGCATGAACAAGCTCTCAGAGAAGAACACATAGAGACCCTCATAATGTGATAACTGGCACCTCCATCAAAAGGACCTCCAAGAGTTGGCGAAGGACCAATGAGATTCAAGTGATGATGCTGGGCTGTCCAACGTGAGCCTTGGATGTAATTTAATTAATAAAGTTGTATCCTGGTTAAAACCCACACAAATGTGTCTGCCTTTTTCTATCCAGGGAGCACACCAAACTGAGCAACTCTCCAACATCAAATAAAAGCAAACTACTATAAACAGCCATTTAACAGAATAGCAATAAAATCACTGAACTGGAATGTTGCCAGATGATCAATGTATCTCCTACGTCAAACACAAATATTTTTATTTGCCTTAGTATCTGCCCAGCATGAGTTCCTAATCATTAGCATGGCAAATAGAGACATTTTAATTCCACTGATACTGTACCCTGATTAGACAACATTGTTAAGAGTCCTCATTCATCCTAACTTTTGCATTACAGTCCTGATTTTGACAGAGTTATTCAAATAAGATTTGGGATTTAACCAGTACAAAAATAATTGGTCAAATAACATAAAAAATGATAAAATAAAGTACTAATTTATTAGAACGGTAACAAAACAAGTAAGACTTTATGGTCTCCAACAGGGTTAGCCTTAGATATTTATGCTTAATTACAAAAAAAACAAGTACTTAACTGAGTCATTTTAGCTAAAAAATGTGAAATATAATTAAATGAAGTTGTAAAAATGAAAAAAGGCACCATGATGCAATAGGCTGTATTCTTGCTGGAATATATGGTGAATATTTGATTATGATCAAATAACTCACAGTCAGTTCTCAATCCTAACCTCAAGTCTTCTGCAAGGACAGGCTCACAGGATATTTAAAGCATCCTAAAATGCTCCTGACAATAAAGCAAGATTTCTTCATGACATGGTAACAAGCTGTGCCAATTTAAAAATACCTCTAGGCTAGGAGGTACTGCTGTGACAGAACCCCACCTCCCATGCTTTATGAAATGGACTTATGGACAAGAATATATATAACTCAAAGGTGCTTTGAGCAAATTATTTCATGTACCCTATCAATCTTCATGTCATGATCCTCTGGTTCTGTTTATCTTACTTTGATGTATGTATTATTTTTGTGTGTAAAATTAGACATATGGAGTGGGGAATACTTTGTGGGTTTTAAATGTGTGAAAGAGACATCGAGGGTATTACCCTCAATGTCTTAATGAGCAAGTGTTAAACTATCTCTTTTGTCCTTAAGTCTGAGCAGTAGTTGGTAGGGAGTGGCCTCAATTCTTAAGAATAGGAAAGCAGGGGCCAAGGTCTTTTGGCTGGGCTGCAACTGTAGGAAGGAGCCTAAGACCCCAGGATGGGAAGACAGCCCTGGTTTGGAGGGACAGCTGGAAAAGAGGTTTTAGGGTGAGTTTGAAAAGTTTGTATTGAGGTTTCCGTGTAGAATTAGCTAAGTGTTTTTGTTTCTTTTAATTTGTAACTTACTTTGCTCTGCCTGTTCTCACTTATTACCAGTTAAATCCTACTGCTTGTACTTAATAAAAATCACTTTTATTTTCTGTCAAACCGACTGTAAATCATTGTTACCTGGAGGGGCAACCAGTGTGTACATGCTCCTTTTATTGTTAATGGGAGCTTACCTAGGTAATTCATTGGGGGTTTCAATTCCATTTGGGGAGTGGTATCTCAGGGTACTGGGCCCAAAACTGCACTCTCCTTGGACCTGCAGAGGTTCAGTGTTTGTACTGCTTCTCGGTGGGGGCAGGGATCTCAGCTTGGGGCTTTGGCTGGGGGAGACCAGGGAGCTGGCCCAGCAGGAGTGGGAAGTGAGGAGCCCCAGAGAGCAGGAAGGCAAGTGGCAGTGGCCATGTCAGCCCTCCAAGAGGTACCCCCAACATGTCTTCTGTGACCTCACCCCATTGCAACTGCAACAATTTTGCCCCAGAAAATTAAGTAGAAAGATGGAATAGGAATGCAAGCTCTTGTCTTGAAGTTGGCATAGAGACAAGCAAGAAAATGAAACTGATTAAATAAAAGTGGGAAGCATATTAATCAGACTGCCTCCATTCCTTACATGATGACCTTTATGGATTAAAACAACCTCTTAACATCCCACCTTCTAATGTTCAGTTTCCAATTATCAGTGGTGCCTCATCACAATAAGCTCCACAGATCAGAGTTTGAGATCCACCAGCTTAGATGAATTCATTACTTACCAGATTGTGCTTAATGAGCTCCTTAGCAAACTCAAAAGATGATGAGGCATTGTCCATCAGACTCTTGAGTTCTGCCTGAAATTAAATATTATATCTATAAAAAACTATACAACTTAGCACCCCCCTACACACACACACATATACGTGTAGATCCATACCACATCTGAAACTGATGGGGAAGCAACTCCAGTTCTGATTAACTGAGTTGGTAGAAGAAAACAAACACATCCCCATTATACCTTGATGATTATTGCGGATGGATAATTCATACAAATGCAAAGCAATACTTGCACTGGGAAAATGGAAAGGCCTGCATACCAGAGGTGGCCAACCTGTGGCTCGCAAGCCACATGCAGCTCTTCTCCCTCAAGTGTGGCTCACTAAGCCGTTCCTGCACCACCCCATCTCCCCATGCTCACCGGGGTGGCGATTCAAAATGGCACCCAAAATGGCAGACATTGATGGGAGTCTGATATGGCCTAAGCTTGTTTCTTAAAGGGGCAGACTCCTTTTTTTTGGGCTTGACTATTCTGGTGAAGCTCTTCGCATTTTTTCTGCTGCTGTTTTGGCTCTCTTTGTTAAAGGGATTGGCCATCCCTGGTATAGTTGATTAACCGATAAGCAGAAGCCTATAGGTTAATACTACAGACTACGTGCATTTTTCCCCATCCCCCGCCAGTAAATTTTTTTTTAGCAGGCTAGCCAGCAGG